CATGTTTGGTATATAAATACTTAAAAAATATATATATATATTTTTTTTAATAAATATATATATGTATATATTCTAACTTTAAGTTATGCTTAAAGTTAAATTTATCCACCAACATAAACACTCTGCTTCTATATGTATGTATGTATGTATGTATGTATGTATGTATGTATGTATGTATGTATGTATGTATGCGTCTATATCTATATTTAAATAAAGAAAAAGTAGTCGACATCATTGCGTATTCAAATCGTATACCGTTTTTCGTTCAGTGCATTCCATGTACGTTTATGATGTTATTTACATTTCTGTTTTGATTTCGTTTGCTTTATGAAGACATCGTATACTCTCCAGTCCAGAGCGGAAACCTCAGGCGAAACACAAAATTGTGTAAAAAATGCAAGGCAAAAGTTTTTCTTATTGCTGCCGGTTGTTGTCTGAGTGTGTGTGTGCGAGTGTGTGTGTGCATGTATGTGTATGTGTGTGCGTATTTAATTTTTTGTTGCTTTGTTTTGTTTTGTATTCAGTTTGTTTTGTTTTGGTTGCATTTCGTAGACTTTTGACTTGTGCGGGCATCTCTGTGGACCCAGGCAAATGAACCAGCAGGACGACAACCTCAAAAGTCAAATCATTCTCGACTTTTCCACCCCTCCAGCCGCCTCCTGCTGGCTCCCTGCGAGAAGTGCTACTGAGCTGTGTGCACTTGCATTTATGAATGTTTAAGCACTCGCAGCTCTGAAAGGAGCAGCAGCACAATTGAAAAATTCATAAAGCCACCAGAGAAATGCATAAATGAGTGAGTGTAAGAGAGATGCCAGCATGACAGTGTGTGTGTGTGCGTGTGTGTGTTGGTGGGTGTTAAAACCCTAATAATGTCTAATTATTACAGGTCGTTTGTTAAGTCAAACCAGCTGAGATGTTTCTTATTATTTTATTACATCAAATGAGATTTTTGTGCATTTTCGGGGCTCAGCTTGGAGCTGTATAATCTATAAGAGGCAATCAGTATCATGTGGGGGTAAACAGCTGAGATTAATACGAATATAAATAGCATTGAAGTCCTATGACATGCCTGAAGTTTTACCTATGCCAACTGTATAATTATTTCTTGGATCATTAAATTCCCTAAATCTGTAATCGAATTTCTAGCAACTCAACACACACTAAATTTAATTGTTAAACCTTTAATGGCCCATTTCAATACATACACACCCACACAGACACACACACATGGCTAAATACATAGTCAAACCATTGCGAAAGTTAATCGAGCGTCTAGAGTTAATTGCTAATTTAAAGCTGATCAATCAATTTAAAGCACGGCTTGTTAGGGGCGCGCAAATAAACGGAAATTTAAATGTCTATCACAGCTTGCACTGAGAATTTTTATAAAATTGATTGTTAAATTGTGAAAATTGAAATTGAGTTTGGCCTGCAGCCGCCGTTCGCTGTATCAAAACAGAAATCTGTTTACATTTCAGCATTACAGCAAAAAACATACATTTTACGAAAATAAAGCGAAACAGAAGAAGAGAGCAAAAAAAAAAAAAAAATCTTCACATAACAGAAAACTTAAATGCAGCGGAAATGTTCTGTTATTTTTTATCAGGGGAATATTTTAATTTTGCGAAAAAAAAAAAAACAACTTAAATTAAGCAAACGAAAACTTTATTAAAATGCATATGAGGTTTACTTAAGCGCAACTGCGCGCTAGGGCAGGGCAGGGCAGAGCAGGGCAGAAGGCGTGGCACCTGTGGCTATGGCCAGCAAACGTTCATAATTATTTGCTTGGCACTAAAAAAATATATGCAAATCGCTGAGCCAAAGTCGAAATGTAGTTGGATAGCTTCACATTTGCTTTGGCTCCTCTCTTTCTCCCTCCCATTCTCTCTGTCTCTCTCTCTCTCTCTATCTGATATCTGAAGAGAGCAAAACAGTTAAGCTGAGATTACAAATGAGATTGCGGGCGTTTAATATTATTATCTTATGCTTTGAATTGTTTAAGTCTCACTTGATATGCAGTTAATGTAATTGCTAAAGAAACAAATTTAAGTTAAATTAAATTAATTTTTTTTTAAATTAATTATATTATTTCCGCTGCTCTGCTTCTGAACTTATACGCTTCTCCATCTGCTCTTTCTGCTTAAGCAATTCACATCTCCATATCATATAGATGGTGATATATCCATAGTTGTATATCGATAGATATATATCGATGTATGTATATCTAATCTCTTATTGGCCTACTATAAGATTTGAGTCAAAGTTGATTCATTTAAGTAATAAATGAAGCTAAGTATCGCTACGTGTATATCGATAGCTTTGTATGTCGAAATACGTATATTGATAGCTATGTATCGATAGCCGGGTATAGATATATTGATGTATCGATTGATATATATCGATAGTAATCTATCTATTATCTAATCTAAGTAGTTAAGTTCAGTTCAAATCTTGCATATATCAAATGTGTCGAAGTTTTTCGCATAACTCTCCACAAAGAGAATCAACTCTTGCTCTCTCTCTCTTTCTCTCTCTCTCCCTCTGGCTTGTTCAGTTGATAAAACTGATATCCCTTAATGCCAGTAGTTAACAAATCAAGTCAATCACAACAGTAATCAAACAAAAACACAGACATTGCATATAGATATTTAAATCTAGATGAAAAACTACAAATGCAGAATATGAATGCTCGCAGTTAGACAGAGAAATGCTGGCATTTACATCGCAGTTTTAAACAATTCACTCCATTTTAATATTTCTTTTCTTTTGTTGTGTAATTTTTTTCTTTTGATGGCCGGCAACAATCGCAATGTTAATTACAATAACAGAGAGCGGACGAGTTGCTACAAAAAACTCGAAATGCGAAAAAAACTGAACGGAATGTAAAAAATTTGTTGCGGGCTGCAATTGAATATGCAGCAGCACCGACCGCGCCTCCCCCGCCCACCTCTTGCTGTGCGGGTTTTATTGAGCTGTTTGTTTTATGCGGCAGAGTGAAAAATCTCAACACAATATCAAATGCATACACTGCGCGCTTAGTTTGCTTACTTTTATTTCGATTTACAGAGCGAACATTGAAAGGTTGCTGGAAAAAAAGGATATAGAAATAAATATATATACAAATATCAACTCATATATATATATATATATATATATATATATATTGCACGCACACACACACACACACTCACACAGAACAGATTTGCGCAAACAAACTACATGCGGGCGGCCGTGGGCGTGGCTGCTGTGATGGGTTTAAAAAACTGCAAGCAGACAAATTAAAACTAAGCGCTCCATGTACAAACAGCTCACCCGAGGGGCCCCAAAAAGTGGGTGGTGCACTCGACCCAATGGCAGCCACTCGACCATTTGCTCCATTTAGTTGTAAACACACACATACACACACACATACATGCACAGAGAGAGACAATTATTCGCTTGGCAGTGCTGCTCAAACTGTAGGAGCAACCACAGCAGCAGCTCAGCCAGCGAAGCTGCCAACAATTTTCCCATTTGATTTCCCAAAACAATTTGAATTCGTTACACAAAAGTGAAAAATCGATTTCTTCGCATTTCCAACGAATTAATTTTTGCAACAGAGAGCTGAGCGAATATTAAACACAATTTTGCCCTTATGCAACACTGGCACTTACATACATACATTAATGCGAACTGTGCCGTAATCAGCTTTTGCTCAGCTTTTTAAGAGCAAAAGTTTTAAAATATTTGTATTATTGTGAAAGGTGAATTTAAAGAGAAAAGATTGCTGTATGGGTAATTGGTTGATAAGCATTTAATTTCAGTGTTGCAAAATGTTGAGTGGTGCTACTATAAGACTTCCTCTTTTTGGGATATTCTCAATAAAAGCACTTCTCTAAAAGAGGCTTAAGTAACTATGTTAGATCTTTTTCAGCAATATATACACAATATATACACATACATTCAAAATACTCCTAATATCCAGAAATGTTTCTCATATTTTCCAACATCTATCTTTATTCATAAAATATGTATGGGAATATCCATTAACAAATGGCTTTAAAAAGTACTTCACTTTAAAGCTAAGCTGCCTCTGTCTATGCCAAATACAAACTAAATACAACCGTATTTGTATCATTTATTCGTGCGTTCATTTATTCAGATCGTTTTCCAATACTAAACAGCTTCTAACATTTCCATTCATATTCTATAACAGATACTTGCATGAATTATTAATTCGCCGCCCTACAATAGACTAGCTCTAACTAAGCTCCTGCCACTGCTCCAACCTACAGCATATTCCCATAACTGCTGCCTCATCCTTTTCCAACACTGGCACACCTAACGAGCACTTCAAATGCTGTACCTATTACAATTTTATAATCAACTACAATCGAAATGGAGCTCAACTTCCCAGCTCGTAACCGCCACCCACACACACACAAACACACACATATACGCACACACCCACACACATATATAGAGAGAGTGGAACCTCTATAAATAGTAGCTTGTGAAATGTTAATGCAATTGAGTCGATATCCATTTGTGGAATACAGCGAAGCACAAATTTATTTCTAGTATTTCAGCACAATTTTCTAGCTTCTCTCTCTCTCCCTGTGTGTGTGTGTGTGTGTGTGTGCATTATTTATTTGCTGGCTGAGAAGTGATTTACAATTTTTCAACAATTCTAAACGAAAATTTGAACAATATTTTGGCGCATTGATTGGCGCCGCTTGCGACTGTTGTTCCGCTAATAAAATAAATCAAAGTTCGCAGCTTTCTCTTACTCCCTCTCTCTCTCAGTCTCTCTCCTCCTCTCTTTCTCTAGCTTGCTGTACATTTTATGGCCACTATTTCTATGTGGATTTTGGCTGCTGCTGTGGGTTATCTTTAATTAAATGTTGCGCTGCGAATGTGGGAACGCACGTTACACGTTCTCCATTAAATCTTAACTCAGCATCTGTTTTATGCTCTCATTCTCACTCTTTCTCTCTCTCATTCTCTCTCTGTCTTTGCAGCCTGTTTGCTGTGTGGCGTGGGGCGGGCGGACGAGTCGCTGGACACACGTGAAGGCGTCGATCTGGTGCTCAAGTGCCGTTTCACCGAGCATTATGATTCGACTGACTTCACCTTCTACTGGGCGCGCTGGACCTGCTGCCCCACATTGTTCGAGAATGTGGCCATTGGCGATGTGCAGCTCAACTCCAATTATCGGTAAGTTCAGTGCGTGTGTGTGTGTGAGTGTATGCATGTGTGCGTGTGAGTGTGTGTCCTGTGTGCAATGGTCTGATAAATCACAGTCAGGCTCATAAATTCAACTCTGATGGCCTGTCAATAAGCAGGCGAAAAGTTAAAACCCTGTCTCACTCTCCCTCCCTCTCTCTCTCTCTCACTCCCTCTGGGAAGCTGATTGCACATTTATTTAATTGCCTGCCTGACATCGAGACTCAACTGAACTCAACTCCCTTTCTCTCGCGGCATGTTTATTGATAAAAGATGAAAGATGCGAAAGTTTCGCGATGCGTTCAGCTGTTAAATTTATTAAAATTGCCAATGACTGTAAGGACAACGCCATCAATGCCATCATCTCCGTTCGCTCTCTCTCTCTCTCTGTGTATGTGTGTGTGTGTGTGTGTACATCATTAAATGTTCATCTGGCAGGCGATAATTCATTGCCTCTGGCCACGCCCACAAAGATATCAGTGTAAACAAGACGAAGCTGGCCCCCACGAGCTGCGCTGCGCGGTTCACTAGATCCCTAGATTGGGATAAGGATAAGCGAAGCGCGCGGACCATCAGCCGCAGCTGTGCACAGGCGAAATTATTATTATGGCATCTTTGTTAAAAAACAATGGGAAAAATACACAAAATAAATTGTTTCTACAAAATTGACCAGCAAAATGCCAACAACAACAAGAACAAGTAAGAAAGCTCTAGTCGAGACTACTCGACTACGAGATCCCCTGAACCCTTGGAGTAATAGCTATTTCAATAATTTTTCGCGTCTTTCAGCTTACACAAGAAACACGCACACACACACACACACGCACGCACACACAGGCATACATACACACACATACATACACACACATACATACACACATACACACACACACACACACACATACACAAACAATTACATACATATACACACACAAGCATAAACACGCATGGGCGGCAGTGAGCGCTTACTATGAGAACTTAATTGCTTAATAACTTTTTTGTGGACGTACGATCTTCATGAAACATTCAGATTATGATTATGACATGGATATGCATGTAATTGCTAAAGCACAAGTCTCTAGTATTTGAAATACGCTTTTTACAAAAGTGAGGGTGAGGGGGTGAATTTAAGGGTGGGGGGTAAATTTTAACAAAAACCGAAATTGTATAAATTGCATATAGGCATACATTAAAAATTTGGAGACTCTAGCAATAAAGGTGTAGAAGATATAATTTTATAACTAGTTTTCGATAAGGTTTTTTATCGATAAAAAAAGATCGGGATGAGTTATCGATTTTTAATGATAAACTTGATATGCGCGCTGTAATTACGAACATTTTAAAAAAAATTTGAAGTCTCTAGCTCTTATATCTTCTGAAATCGACGCGTTCATACATACGGACAGACGGACAGACGGACAGACGGACGGACGGACAGACGGACAGACGGACAGACAGACGGACAGGGCCAAATCAACTCAGCTCGTCGCCCTGATCAAGAATATATATACTTTGTGGGGTCTGCCACGCCTCCTTCTGCCTGTTACATACATTTCAACAAAACCATTATACCCTGATTTCCCATTGAAAATGGGTTCAGGGTATAAAAACAAAGGAAAAAAGAACACGATTAGGTTAAGCAAAACATGTGGACAATTTGAATAATGATTGCAACATAATAGAAAGAAAACTTGGCGAAACCTGAGCGGGGACAATAGCAAAGGGAATGTGAAGAGGCGGCAAAAAATAATATTCAAAAATAATACAGCAATTATTTAAGAATATTGAACAGTATAAAATAATACAAAATGTAAAAACTGATTAAAAATAAAGTGTATAATACATATACGAATTAATGTTTAATGCAATTAAATTAAATGAATATTGAAGCTGTACTTTTATTCCACAGTCAATGATAGTTTATAGAAATAAAGTTTCTTTTTAATATACATATAGAAAAAAAAATAAATAAGTAAAAAGAAAAACAAGTTGAACATTTTTATAAATTCAACATAATAATAATTAATTGTAAATGATAAAAAAAAATATAAAAAAAAACAGAAAATTGTTAAACAATATTATTTTTTGAACACGTTCAATTAATTTTTATATAATTTGCTTATTATTTAATTTAAAATAATATTAACGAAAATAATACAAATAAATATTTGTATAAATTATGTTATTTTCATCCATTATATATATTTTTTAAATTTAATTATTACATTATTTTCATAAAATTTTGCATATTTTAAAAACAAGAAATAATATTTGTCTAAGCTAAGTTATTTGAATTTATTATAATGATTTTTAATATGTTAATATAATCAATTTTCTAATCAAAATGACTAGTTGAGCTCAAACTAACATTCATAATAAATCAATATCAATTTTATGCACAACTATAGCAATTTGTGCCATAGTTCATAATTGGCAACACATTGCGTATACGCAATATGATTAAAGCGCCGACAGCGCGTCAAGCATTGAAGGCCCTTTAAACGGCTGTTGGGAAAATGTGCTGAAATTTCCTTATTGCTGTTGTTATTACTGACGCTGCTGTTGTTGCTGTTGCTGTTGCTGTTGCTGTTGCTGTTGCTGCCTCGACTGCCTATTTATTTATTAATCATAATAATCATTTTGCAGCGCATTTTAAGCGTGAAAAAACATTCAATGCGGCGTATGCCGCAAATCGTTTGGAAAATGTTCAACAGTACACGCCCACACGAAGAGACAATCACGCACCAAAGACACGCTCATTGGCCAGATACATTATATATGTATATATATACACACATTTATAATATATGGAACATGCAAACAGAGAGACAGAGAGTGCGAGAGAGCGAGAGCGAGAGCGAGAGCAAACAGATCGCAAACAAAGGAAAATTATTGTAAAATTTTGCTAATCGCGCGTTAAACAATTTGCTTGATTTATGTGAGCCCAAAGATTGGGCCGGGCTAATGGCGTTGCCACAAAACACAATAATAGCGCCAACAGAAACAACAACAACAACGACAACTACAACAAAGGCCATTAAGAGCGATAGCAAGTTGCGTGATGAGTATAGAACAAGGGATACCCTGTAAAAACACTTACAACTTAAACTAGAAATACTACTACTAGATACTATTGTACTACTGCTACTTAATACTATTAGACTATATACTACTACACCATTATTATATAAATTTATATAAACTACATTTACTATGTGTTATACTCTATTTCTGTGTCATCAATTTTTATAAATTTTTAATAGGTCAAAATTATATCTGAAATTTAGGTTAGACTATGGATAGCCTCAATAAATCTTGCTGGCTTTTCAAGTATTATATATTATATTCAATTTATCTTCACTTTTTTAGCTCTCAGCCAAGAATAAATCGTATTAGACTCTAAGATACTCTACATATACATTCGATATTTCAAAGAAGCTTCGTGAATCGTTTTGGCTGACTCTATTAGCAATTGGATAAGCATCGAATAGGCAGCTAAAATCTTAAGGACTCCGTGTGTCGTATCAGCAGACAATAAGATAAGAAGAAGATAGTGTGCTAAGATGTAGCTTATTCACAAAATGCTAATGATTCATCTATGCTGAGAGGAGTCTGATGTGATCTACTATGACATTAGCTAGCCTAGGGAAGCCTTCAGAGAGAGGCATTAGCAAACAGCTGTTACAATTGAACAACGCATTCAAACCTTAATCGTTTCTACTAGGCAAAAAGACATCAAAGAGAGTTTACTATTAATATTTTGTTATGCGTCGGTCCTTTGTCGTCATGGGAATTCAAAAGGCGCTTCAATATTATATGAGACCATACAATTTGATTACCATTTGATTGCGTTGATAGCTCTTGGTCTGGCTGATCAATCTTCAATCAAACAATCAATGTAGTTGCTGCTGATTATGTATTAATACTGCAAATAAAAAAGTTATGTACAGACTCTGTACTACAGAGCAGGAAATAAGTCTTTTGAGTTACAAAAAAGTATGCTCTATAATATTTTCAATAGGTATAAAAAACTCTAAGATGTTTTCGAGCAATAAATAATCTGAAAATTATAAGAAAATATAAATATAAATATAAAAAAATATAAAATATAAATATAAATATATAAATAAGTATATATAATGAAATTTAAAAAGAAGAGAATATATAAGAAGAGACTATAAATCAAATTCTATAGAATTACATAATATTCTAAATATTTTATGTGTATAAATATATAATATAAATGAAAAAATATAAATAATTATATAACTACTTTTCAAATTTAGGTTCTTCAAAAATTAAGAATTACAATTGGTGTATGAAATATTAAAAATGTTGCAAACAAATTAATCTATGTACTTATAAATACTATATAATAAATGCCCTAGAGAGTAGGGTATTTGATAGGGCGTGCTGCATTTAGAGGAATATTTTATAAAGAATTTTAATTTTTTTTTTTTTTTTTTATTATTAAACAAGAGCTAAATAAATTGCTTTGCTTTGCAATTCTTTTGCCTTAGTTAAACGGGCTTATCATTAAAAGCAAGTAATTCTATGCGCTTTAGTTCTACATTACTATATAGAGTACAGTACTCCTGTTGAAAGCAATTAGGTTAAAAGAAAATTTCATTTGACAGCTTGCTTTTGAATGCAAAAATTGTTGTCTAATGATTGCGCAATTCCCATTTGCCAGCAACGTTTTGCAGCATTCAATCAACGCCGTCTCGTTAAATGCTAGTGAAGCCCCGTTGTTGTTGTTGCTGCTGCTGATGGATGCCAGCTGTTGGCTCCACAAGTTGACCCCCAGTCAACAGCCAAAAAGAGGGGGAAAAAAGGAATTGAAAAGGTATAAAATGGCATGTTCTAAGCAGCAACCTCAGCTGCTCCTACTCCTGCTCCGTCTGCTGCTCCATTCTCCTCCCGCTGCCCCACATGTTTTGGGTGTCCATTTGCACTTTGAGCTCTTCAAAAATGTTGTCATCTAGATGACA